GTTAAACTGAACTGCAACCAAAAGGGAACTTTTAAGCATAAACTGTAGTGTGTAGACAACGCATTTTCAAGAGAGATAACAGAATGGATGACAGAAATACTGCAAATAAAGCCTCAAACTGGTACAGTCCCCAGTCATGTACATTTGAGCATTTGTAGCTAAACACACTGTACGTGACTAAACTGGAGGAAAACTGATTAGGATATTAAAGCTCCTACAAGACTGCAGAGAAAATTGAGTTAGACTAAACTACAATCCCTTTTAAAGACTCCTCCGTTTACATAATATTTATTGTTTGGTATTGCATATTGTACTGTAAATTCCTGCTCACTTTTAAACTAAAAAGAAGCAAGTCCAGTTCAAATTGTTTCTGATCAGAACTGACAATAGGTACAATGGAAAGTAGGTTGATGCAAATGATCAGAATCAAAACCGAATCCAAATATGAAATGTGTGTGGTTAAATGCAACTCTTAAGAAACTCTCATTCTTTGCAGTCCATAACAAGGATTGTTAACCTGTATTGTAAAACAAGATAACAGATGAAATGACCATGATCTCCTGGTTGGTGCCTGATTTTATTAAACCCTCTAAAATACAACAGCAGAGGGAGACAGACATGATTCACAGGTTCCAAGCAGAGCTTTGCAGCACTGTCAGCAACAATAACTGAATTTCCCAATAGCAAATTCTAATCACTCTGCGTGCTACAAAAACTTGGACCTTACATAGGTTGGTGTTAGCTTCACCAGAGTCAACCATAACATTATTAGTTCACATAAAAAAAACAACAAACAAACAAAAAAACTTAGGGTCAGAACTTACACCACTCTACAGATCTCCATACAAAATCAACACCTTCCTTGCACTTGTGAACTCAAACACATAATGTCATGTATTAACTTGATGATCAGTAATAATGCTAACCAAACCTTGGCTACAAAAAAAGAAACTCAGCAGATCTTAGGTGTGTGGCTTACTTCTTGGCCTTGTAGACATATGCGCAACGTTTTCCCAGGTAGAAGTCAACTTCATCTCTGGTGTAACATCCCTCAATTTTCAGGAGGGCTGTGTGCTCACGCTGGTTCCTCAGACCACGCTTATAGCCAGTAAAGATGGCCTTACTCCAGAGTCTGATAAGAAAAAAACAGTTATAAGTTTCAAAGGAATAACAAAGAACACAAATCATTCAGACTCAATGCAGCACAGAGATCTGTATACCTGCCAGGCATTTTAAGTGTTCTCCCGGTCAGTTCACCTGAAACAACAAAAACAAACAACACATTTTTATGGCAATTATAAGTGAAAAAACAAAACAAAAAACCTTTTCCCCAAAAAATGTCATCAAAAAATTGGCACAGTTAAAATTGGAATCAAAATAAGAACAGGTAAGCTGAGATGGATTTAGTACAGATATGATTTAATACATTCAGTTATATACTATTCAGCTGCAACATGTACGCTTGTTTACTCTGGTTTGGAACACTGTCTAATTATGTGAGTTATTGACACTGTGCTTTAATAGACTGACATCACATTGTGTTTAGAACGGAAGTAGCCTTACTGAACTGCCTACAATCATATTTTTAGACAGGGCAAACGCACAAACAGACCTGAGAGCACCTGCAATGTCATAACATAGATATTCCTTTTAGTCATTTAAGACATTCTTTACTTAAACAATAATATCAATGTGAATTATGACAACCCGTTCCCTTAATGTTAACTGCGGCTAACACTTCGACACGTTCCCCAACCTGGCTTTGATAAATGTTATAAATTTAGGACAACGTTAAACGGGAACGACCAAGAGAACAAACTTAGAAGAAGATCCTCTTCAACTAGGTCCTGGCCTCAGTTCCACACCTGGACGTGGGAACTCAGTTTAACTAAATTAACAGCTACCGAGTCCCGGCTGCAGCCTCCGAAGCTAGCCACTGTTAGCGTAATCCACATCTTATCCCCGCCATCACGCTTTTAACAGCCACGTCATTTGACGGCATGATGAACAGTTTAGTGCCCGTACTTCGCTGGTATGAATCGATTGTTTATGTATCAGTATTTTGATTAAAATTAAACATTAGTAAAATGTCTACATGTCTTACCGTCACTACGGGAAAAGATGGAGGAGGGAAAGGACTGCCCCAAGGAATGTTGGGTAATTGTCGCCTACCTAGTTGTCTGTAAAGATGCCTGATCAAAAACGTTTGATTTATGCGATCGCTTCAAACCTGTAAATTAAACATGTGAACAAACATGCGCCTTATGAGTATAATTATTTCTTTTGGTACTATAGATTTAGTAATATTTTAGAACTACAAGGATAAGTGATATGTTTTCTCCGGAACCTGAACCTTACCATTCCGTAGTGAGGACCCAATCCTGACGCGAATACGTCACAATTTACAATGATATTGAATTTTTCTTTTTTTAAAAAGTTAAATTTTATCTTAATATATGGATATTTCATACCTTTAAATTATTACCGTCTTTTTGTATAATTTGAATTTGTTTCTTATCCTCCATTCTAAACATGAACTGTTTTTTTAAAAAAATTCTTTAAAATTCTAATATAAATCAATACATCTCAAATTCTATTGTTATATGCAGAAATTCATTATTCAGTTGTTTGCCTTTTATTACATATTTAAAATAATTATATTTGTTATATTTATATTTGCCAAATGTTAAAATGTGTAAGATTCATATTAGAGAAAGGCTGTGTTTCGAACTACGTTTATACCTTGTGAAAAGAAAAAAAAAACAATAAACACAATCAAATTAAAATATTTATTTAAAGCACTTAAAGTCAACTCTTCATATGACTGTGTTCAAATCTTTATACAGTTTGTCAGCAAAAATACAAACAAGTGTGTCCTCCTTTTAACAACCGGTGGAATGTCCTCTAAAAGCACACCAGCTCTTTGTCACATGACTAGTCAATGCTGCAGGAGAAACACATTACCAGAAAAAAAACAAAACAAAACATGAAACTGTACAAGTATAACCACAACTTCTGAGCCAGACCAACAAAGTGGACAGTACAACTGTTGATCAGAACACCAATCAGTTCTGTAACCTGAAACCTTTTAGATTTTAAATGGAGGCGTAGCCAAGTGTCTAAGCCTGAAGACTTTTTTTTTTGTGAAACTGCATTCAGGTGCAGCAGTTCCTAGTCCACAAGTGATGTTTAGCATCTGCACCAGATGGAAGTAAGCAGGTGACTATTTCATGTGTCTCCATCCCATCTTCAATTATCTCTGGTGAGCACAGGTCTATGGTGACATCACTGGTGGTATGTATGCATGTATGTATATATTTACAGCATATAGTATTTTATGATTGCAGACCTTTTAGTCCACAGTGTGTTAGTGTCAGATCACACCATCCAAGTGAAATTGTCCTAGCATGCAACACACATGAGGCGTCATCATCACCTGAATGATCTTGTCAAATCACAGCTCAGTACATTTTCACATAAGTTTCTGGTGCAACAATGACTCTTCTTTAATCTCTGATTTATTTTGTCTATAAATAATGTTTGCCATTAATAACGTGCATGGGGGCACATGTGCTTCAGTTAAGGTTCTGAAAATGCGTGGATGATAAACCAGGAGACAGACAGAATCTACCAACTGCAGACACTGCAAACATCAGTTTACATGTGTAACTGGTGCAACAGATAAACAAGATGTCGGCACTAAGTCACCATTCATCACATTGGTCCCTTACAAATGGAGACTGAAAACAGAGCTGAAACTTCAACAAGGCCACTATAATAGCAACATCCCTGTGATTTAGCACATGTGGGCTAAAAAGTGCTGCCTGTTGCAAGATGTAAATCTTAGCTTATGTTGTATACTTGTGCATAACATGAAGACCAACATTATCCATATTAACGTTTGTTAACATGAACTCATGAAAAATAATTTTGCCTCACTACAAAGTAGCTGAACAATATAAACTAACTTAGCCCTAATTGATAACATATTGAAAATTGTTTTAAAAACATATTCATCAGCATATATTTACATAGGTAAAATATTTTACATAGCAAGCTGATGGAACTTAGTTGTAACAGTTTTTTTCTTTTCATCTTATGCATTAGTATAGGACCCATTTGGCTCCCAGTAGCACAAACAGCAGGTCAGTATTTTTTAAATTAATTTAGCTACATAAATAGATATGAATAGAATTAAACTTCTTGCTAAACAAAAGTAGGCAACCCAAATAGCGCTGTAAGGATTATTATCAAATCAACTAGACCTGCTGACTTCTTTTCACTGTGACTGACATAGTGTATTTTTAGAGAAACATTTAAACATATAAAATAGTGATTATCACCACCATCAGCTACATTAGCCTAATGTGCAAAACAACTGATGTAAACAGGTTGAACACTTGATAATTTTACAGCTTAGTTTTAAAAACATGGTAAAATCATGTTTTCTGCATAACATAATTAAAAGTGTTTTTAATTTGATCTATAAATATAAACCATAAATAGTTTCTAGCATTCTGTAGTGATGATAAAAAGTGTTGAAAAACACTAATCTTAATTAACAGTGGCATGTCAGTCAATCACGGTAAAAAAAGCACAGTGGTCTCACAGTGCATTTAAGTTAGAGGCCATGTAGTGGTACTGGGAATGACGCCACCCCAGAGATTATGATCTTCTGGTTAACAAAGAACCTGAAGCAGGTTACGAGTCAGGCTAGGAAGTGCACATGGTTTGTGTCCCCTCACTGCCAAGTAATTTTGTGACTTGGATTTACAACTTCAGGGATTAAAGAGAAATTCCAACCTCTAATTAAAAATTAACATACAAATAAAAAATGTTGATAAATCTATTAGTTGGTTTTCTTACCTAAATAAGAAATAGGAGTTTATAAAGTCTGTCCTAACACTACATTTTTTACATGTGATAGATGTGATCCACAGCAGTGGCCGAGTTGTTCTAAACAAAATAAAACTTTGTCATGTTTCTAAACTCAGCAACAGAGAGAGTTGACATCATTCAGCTCTGTTTATGTCTCCATCAGACACAGCTTAATTTCCTCATCGTTGCCTGAGTGTGCATGTGCTGCAATGATAGTTATGGTGATGCTAGTGTTGTGCACGTGATGACCAACTGTTTTGTCATTCACGACGTTGTGCTCAATGTCAAGGTAACAGGGTGTCGAGGTGGGGCAAGTTCGAGCAGAGCCCGTACGGTGCCGGCAACTTGTGGGAGACCTTGTTCTTCCAGAATGTGAAGAGGGAGACACAACTGACTCTAGACAACGGAAACCAGAGGAGACACACGGGGTGGGGGTGTAAATCAATGATAAATCAAATTAAAAAAGATGAAATAACTGTCACCATGGAGACAGGATAAAAAAGGAGAAGTGAAAAGAAAGAGAGTAAAAAAGAAATTATTAAATCAGCAGCAATGAAAGGAACAGTAGAGATCAGAGAAGAAATACACTGATGAGCTTCACATCATTTTATTAAAAAGGTCAGAGGTTTACCTGGGCTAGATCAGATCTACAAATGATAAAGAACTGAATAGGTCTAACGCTCATTTTCCTGTATGTGTTTAATACCTGTGGGACTCCAATCCTCCGACACGCCTCCAGAAAGTTTTCCACATTTCGCCGACATTTGGCCATGGTGAGTTTAGGCTGCAGGTGACATGCGGAAAAGTCATTAACTAACACTGGTGATGATCTGTGACATCAGAGCAGAGACATCTGACTAGTTCTCACCACAGCAGGGGAGGGGACGTGGATGCTGGGGACGGACCGTGGTCGCACATGATTGGCAAGGTGACACAGCACCACCCCATCTGTCAGAGCGGCACCCAGGTCACTTGGTAAGGACAATTTGAGACGAGCCTCAATGTTCTGGAACATAACACAGGAACATAGAACACATCACATGAGCTCACGTCAGTCAGATATTGTGTTAATGAGTGTTTTAATTTAATTTAATCTTCTGTTACATCAACAGCTGTGGAAAATTCATATGTTTTGTTTGAATTTTCATCCAAACATAAAAACAATTATCTTTTAATTTGGTCTTGGACTTCTTTAATGACAGGTAAAAAAAAGGGTCCACACCTTTCTAAGCTGCTCCACCAGCTCAGCATCTTCTCCAACCAAGGTAGGTGTAGCAGGCACCTCCTGGTTCTGAGGTGTGACTGTGGAGGTGGAAGCAGCATCTGCTGGAGAACAGAAAACATAAACCAAAGGAGTTGACATGCCTGGACAGCAAATGATGGGAGATGGAGGAGTGCAGAACGCTCACCTTTCCTCTTCTCTTCTTTTTGGTTTAGACGAAAGAGAAAACTGTCTGGTCTAAGGTTTGAAGTCCGACAAGAGGCCCCGCCCCCTAAGCTGGGGTATGACGTGGACTGATTGGCTAGGAGGAAAAAATGGATTTGGTAAGTCAAATAAAGGACAAGTTAAACAAAGGTCATAAATACATTTGCTTCTTTACCTGTAGGAGACAGAGCAGCTCTGTCTTCACCCTGCAAAAACACAACACAATACAATTACTGAGGGATAAACCCACCAGAGAAAAACTTCAAGCTTTTCCTTTATTTATAGTAGGGAAAAACAACAGCAGGTGCAGTACCTGTAGAAGACAGGAGGAGGAGCTATCAGCAGCAGAGTTACAGTCCATAGAGGCTGTAGTCACAGACTGATGAGGGAATTGACAGGAGGGTACAGACAGACAGAGGGTACAGACAGAAAAGGAGAAAGACAGATGCAGAGAGTGGCAGAAACAAAACTATATAAAATAATTGAAAAAAAAAAAAAAAAAAAAAAAAAGGAAATGTCAGGAACACGTCCCCCATATTGTTTTTTTTGTCTGCCTCTAACCCCACCCACACCTGTCTGTCAACACTTCAGGGATGGATGGAGCAAAAGAGAAAAACATGAAAAAAGTCTGTCAATCACCAGGGCAGATTGACAGAGAGCGGATCGAGAGAGTGGCGGAAAAAAAACTATAAAAAATAATTGAAAAAAAAAAAAAAAAAAAAAAATGGAAATGTCAGGAACACGTCCCCCATATTGTTTTTTTTGTCTGCCTCTAACCCCACCCACACCTGTCTGTCAACACTTCAGGGATGGATGGAGCAAAAGAGAAAAACATGAAAAAAGTCTGTCAATCACCAGGGCAGATTGACAGAGAGACAGACGGACAGGCAGCGAGACACACAGATACAGATGGACAGGTGGAGAGACAGGTGGAGTCATTTGGGAGAAGTGACTCTAAAGGTGGGACAAACTTAAGAAAAGAAAATGTTTGATAAAGAAAAAAGGAGGTGGAGGAAGAAGAGAAAGAGTCAATACATGAAACTCATAAAATCAATAATTAGTCACAAATGAACAGGTCACTGTTCCGAACAACAAAGTCTGATGAACCTAGACAAGACAATGTCTGCATGTGAGACACATGATGGTCTCAGTCACTCTCTGGACATCCACAGTTACACATAAGAACCACACAAACATAGAGGGAAGAGAAAAATGTGGTAGAGTGTAGAGTAAAAAAACAACGTTAAAAATATCCTGTTTCACACAGGATGAGTAAAAAAAGCATCTGAAAGTCAAGAGTTGTAGTTTCAGACTGTGTGGGCAATACAAAGTCAATGTGTTACAGAGCTGTAACTTCAGTTAGTGATGACTTCTAGACTTGCTCTGAATGAGCAAAAAATTTTAGCTGGACGTCGGAGCACAAACGTGTAATAATGTAGGAAGAGGGAACAAAAAGACTCAAATTAAACCGATGAATTCATTTGACACTCTGGCTCTGAGGGGCTTTTGTTGTCAAAGAGTCATGGGAAATACATGCAGTTTGGTTCATTCCAGGAAACAGGGAGGATTTTATTTCAGTGGTCATTAGTACAAGTGAGGCAGGGGGAACCAAACTCTTACCATAAAGAGGGCGGAGTCATCTGTGTGGGTAGAGCGTCTGGAGGGGCACAAGGTCTAAACACACATGGACATACATTAACAAACACACACAGATGGAGGGGTGTGTTCTACAGTGAGGGAGGGATAATAGGAATGACCTCAGAATTTTCGCCAAACCTGGATAATTATCAGTGCTAACTGCTGGTCTTTCTGTGTGGAGTTCTCTTGTTCTGCACTTGTGTGTGGTTGTGGTGGTGTGGGGTGGTGGTATTACTGATATTAAACACTAAAAAAACATTAAAGAGATATGCAGTCTAAAATATTAACATGGAGGGTTTTATTTGAGGTAACAAAGTTTGGCAGGTATTTCTCCTGCCATAATACTGTATGAAATGTTTGAACTGAACAAGACCACACATGGACAAAGACAAACTCACAAAAAAAACATGTGGACAAACACACATACACACAAAGAGAAAAAGAAACAAACACTTAATACAAAGCCTCACCTCGGTGTCTGGACTGGACTTTGTAGGACTGGGAGCTGCTTTATGCTGTGAACAAAGTGAGAGTTTCAACATTTCCATCATCACACTAACACCCAAGCAGAAGGCAATGAAATGAAAATATTATTATTTATTAATTTATTATATATATTATTTATTCTGTTCACAGGTCCAAATGCAAAACCCATTTTAATATGAGCACACCCTTTATGTTTTACTACAATTGACAGTTCTTTTTACTCACGGCTGTGGTTCATGTGACAGTAAATCAGATTATTGGATTTTAAATGGTCAGTGTCAAATGTTTTGCAGCTTTTATTTTGGCAGTGATCTGGTGTGTAATTTGATGATGTTCCCTCACCTTTGTATAACTGCTTACAGATCGGTTCTTCTGTCGCTCCTCGTCATACCTCAGAGCCGCAAGTTGAGCCTCCCTCCTTATTCTCTCCACACCCCCTTGTCCCAGGGCAGCCCTCTGATGGATGGCAGGAAGAGATAGAGAAATGAGACAAAAAGAGAAAGAAAAAAAACACCTTAAAAGTTTTGAACAATATTATTTCTCTGTCAATGGAGAAATAATATTGTTCAAAACTTATTTTATCTTGTTTAGTTACAATATTTAGTTCAAAAGTCACAGTATGAACAGCGAAAGAAAATAAAAGAAGGAAATAATACCTGGTTTTGGGAAATAGAGGGCACTGTGACACTATCGACCACACTCCTGAGAGAGGACAAACAAAACTGTAGTTGAGGTTGTTTAAGGACGTAGGAAGTTTATGTCTCCCTCGTATTTTCTGATGTCATATGTCACTACTCATAAATACAGTGAGTGTGTGTGTCATTATGAACCTGTGTCTCCTTGTGTCCTCCATCCTGGAAGCATTAGTTTTGACTGGAGACCCCTGAAAAACAGACACCACGAGTCTAAGTGTTGACTGCGATCCACATCAGGGACTCGTACTTTCAGATAATGTTAGCTCACTGTGAGCTGCGGCCACAGCAGCTTGTAGCACTTACCTCTCTGGTGATCCGTCTCTCGATGTAGGCCATGAATTGAGAACTTAGACTGGTGCTGTCTCTGCTTCCCCGTCCGCTCTGACTCCTGCCTTCCTCTTCCTCCTCCACACAGCTGTCAATAAAGTCAATCTGCTCCACCTCCACATCTGATCAATTTCATACAGAAAATCAGTTAATAAGCCACACCATTTGCACACACACAAGTTGTAAAAGAGAATGTTTACATTATCACTGCCTGATGCTTGACATTGGAGACTGAAAGTCTCAGGAAAACATAACAAATACATGCATTTCTACAGAAATGTTAACAAAAATATCTCTGTATAAAAATGCTAGTCTACTGATGTCAATAAAGAACAAGAGAACATCACACTGTCAGCCTTTTGCTGAGGTTAACTAGTGACATTAAGGATTTTTTCTTCAGGTTCAGCTCAATGAATGAATAAAGTAACGCTGACGTTAAGCAATGCTCATCACATCACGAGTTGTTCATAATTCTTTTAAAATTTAGATTAATTTTGATAAGCTCATTCCATACACTGAAAGGGAAAATGATGAGCCCTACTGTTTGCGCCAACTTCAGCAGAGATAGCCAATGAGTTCAACCTAAATGTTGGATGTTTATTTTTAATGGTACAGTATCTGTAACAGGTAGACTGTTATTGTGTAACCTGTGTCCTTTTCCCGAAGCAGTGCAGATAATAATTGGGCTGCTTAATGTACACAGCAAAAACCCTAAAAAATAAAGTTAATGATTGAGCCTCACGTGTGCCATTAGGAATCATCAAAGCTCCGCCCCCTGCTGCTCTGTGTCTCTGTTCTCTGCTGATCTCAGTGACTCTCTGTGGCAGCTCTGACAGCTCCTCTGTTGGCTGGGCAAAGGAACAGGAAACAGGTTGGCTTCAGCACACAGGAAGTGACCACGGAAACACATTTAGTACACACCATACACAGGTGTGACTGACCTCATTCCCCGACCACCTCTTGTCTCCACTGTCCACACTATTAAAACCTGAGTCCAGCGCCCCGTAACGACGTCCGGGGTACAGCTCATCAACACTGGAAAAACAAAGACAAAGGTGAGACTACGTAGGTTCACACACAACGACAACGGCAGCATGTCAGGTTGTGTTGGAATGAGTCCACACCACGAGGTGAAGGGCAGAGGCCGTCTTTCGTAGTCTGGTAGGTCAGGGGTGGATTTACTCGCCTCAATGTTCAAATACTTAAATATGTGGACTTTTCCTTTGATACATATCTGTGAAAAACAGGAAGGAAGGTCAGCAGCCCGTATGAAAACCTGAACAGAAAAACACGGGGCTGTGATGTCACTGTCCATCAGCATACCTGGGCAGGTGGCGACTGCAGAGGGTTGTTGTCGAGGATGATGGTGTGGAGCTGTGTGAGTCGTCGGTAACAGACAGGGATGGAGGTCACCTTGTTACAGGAGAAGTCCAGACGTACAAGTGGGAGGTCAGCCAATTCTGAGGACACAAAGTGAGGCATCACTCTGATTATACTGGAGAGATGGGTTCCAAGCTTGCTGACTGATCTGAGTGCAGCCTCCTGGACAGGATGCTGCGGTGTATTAACAACAATAATACGTTTATTTGATCGGATGCCTATAATGACAACCGAAGTCACAGAGAAATAAAACACATTTAAAAAGACAATAAACAATGGAAGTTGTACTTGTTACAGTTGTTCAAACTATGGAGTGTCAGAGTTTGACTGATCTTAATGTTTGGTTGATCTATCCTCAGGTAATTAAAGTACTTCACCATGCATTTGTTATAGTTGTATACGTATAGTATGTATGTATAGTAAAACATGAGCATAAGAATACAGCGTAATAAATAAACCAGAAGGGGGGAAAAAAGAAACAGTAGAAAAGTGCATAAAACACAACATTCCAAAATAAAGAAACTAAAAAATGTTTCATTGTTATCTTTTCTCCACTAAATAAAAAAAGAATCAATAATCAGAAGAGAAAAGACACAAGATTATTACAACCAATGAGACAGTCAGGACTAATTACACTTCAGCATCACTGAGCAGTACTTTCTGTATTTAAAAACCACCTATGCTGGTCACACAGTCAGTGGTCTCAGCTCATCTACTGTGACAACTGTGACTAATGGAGTGTAGGTCCAGTTGAACTTTAGCAGCCGCAAAGGGTTACTTCAACAAAGTAATTCAATCCTCATTAGGAGTTATTTTCTCTGAAAGAAGTACAGCAACAGTGTTAGTAAAACTGTTTTATGTTCAAATAAATTTTACTTTATATTTCATTTATTTATGTTGTGTTTAATGAATGAAATAGACATGTAACATAACAATAAGTCTCTAACTATGTTTATTAAGCAATATACAAAAATGTGTGTGTGTGTGTCTCCCTCTCCTTACCTGGTGGGAGTGTAACAAGGTGGTTCCTCCTGATATTCAGGTCTCTTAGAGCCTCCAACTGACCAACCTGAGAAGGTAACGTCTGGATCTCGTTACAGCTCACGTCCTTCAGGAAAAACAAGAATATCTGATTATTATACGTTTTCTATATCCAACCATCTACACCCTGTCAGAAGACTTTCAAATTATGTCTATTTTTCACAGGGACAGAGTAACAAGAGAACCAACCAGCTCAGTGAGTTGTCTTAACTGCCCCACTTCTTCTGGAAGAGAAACCAGTTTGTTGTTGCAGGCAATTAGAACCTTCAGAGGGAGACTACAGAGGACAACAGGCAGGACGGACAGTTGGTTCCGACTGAAAAATGGGCAGAGAAACAGAGACGTGGAGAGAAAATGAGAATGCCTCCTCCTGCACAGTAGGAAATAAGACGATGGGTTAGCTGTGTGTGTGTGTGTACTTTACCTGAGGTTTAGGTAGGTCAGACTCTGCAGGTTGACCAAACTCTCCGGCAGTGACCTCAGACAGTTCTGATACAGGTTGAGACTCTCCACAGAGACGAAGAGACAGATGTCCACGGGAAGTTCAGACAGACGGTTACGAGACAGATCTAAGTAGAGAGGCAGGCAGAGACACTTTTATCAGATGACTTTGTTTGGATAAACATGAAATCAAGTAGAGCCAGAATAAAAAGAGGTCACTGACAGGGACTCTCTCACAGTGCTGCTTCTACACCAAGCGCTACTGCTTTCTGTAGTGTACATCCTATAAATACAGTACAATTAATATCAAACTGTGGACTTGAAAAGCAGGACCGTCAAACAACCAGATATCATTCTCCATTACATCATCGGCAAACAACACTGACCAAATTTAACTGGCAGCCAAAAACATCCAGGCCGTATCACTGCCCTGACCATGTTTGACTAATGATGTGGTATCCATAGAAACATGAGCCGTTCTTTTCTAATTCCATCATTAAGGCAGAAGTCAGTTTCGGCTTAACGTTGTCATAGAGGTGGTTTTAATCCAAACCTTTGTTCTTCACTGCTATCACTGGTCTGCATCTCCTTTGGTGCGTACTCAAGATTTACAGCCATGAAGGGATCACTCGGTACCAGATCTGATACCTTTTAATGGCTGTTCATGATCTGGTGAGTGTTGTGAAGGGGATTTTTCTTTGCCAATGAAAAATTCCCAGATCTTTCACTCCCAGTGTAATATGTGATCCTTCAGACCTTTGTTGTTACTGAGGTTGCCAGGGAAACTAAATTATTTGGGTTGTGTACTCCTTATACAGTATTTTTGCACATTTCTGAGAGTAAGTTTTTTTTTAACAGTCCAGTGTATTTGTAACTCTTTTAAAGAACAGAGTGTCAGTAAAAAATAACTCAGGAGAACAGAGTGTCAGTAAAAAATAACTCTAAGGAAAAAGGTTTCTAAGGAAAAAGGTTCCTACAGGAAAATGACATATTTGCAATAACATATCAATATCATTACAATAACTATATACATGTTTTGTAATAAAAAAAGTATACAACAATAATAATAACCTTATGGCAGATGTTTCCTGCGGTTCCCTTGAACATGTTGGAATGTTACCAAAAGCACATCAGATCAGGGTAGTACCAGGGATTTTTTGGCATTTTCTTAAAAATACACATTGGCTGCTTGACGGGGGAATTTATGTCTATTATACGGAAAGTGAACTACTTGCCATTGTGATACAGCACACCACTGCACACATCTTATCCTATATGGATATATGTATACAGCCATATTTTTGCAACCTCAAAGTATTACAGCACAAACACTAAAAGTGGTTGTCGTGGTGATACAGAGTCCCAGCTGTGCTCTTACATCCTGCTGATCCTACAGTAACATCAAGGAATCTGCACCTGGTCAGCAGAAAGTCCACTTTTTTTAAGGTGACATCCACTTCCCGTTCTCTCCCTCCCTCTTCTCCTTCCTTCTCTATCCTCTCTGTCTATGAATCTCTTACATACTCTCACACATACTCACTCACTCCCTCCCTCCCTCTCTCTCTCTCTCTCTCACACACACACACACAGGGCACCATGTCCTGTTTCCATCTGTTTTGACTGATGTGTTTGTGTTCATGCACTGTGAAGTGTCCTTCAATTTACATTTATTTAGTTCAATCCAACAATACTGACTGCTACATGCACCACAGGAGAGACATAAACTTTTCATTAAGACGCGATGGATGCGGAGAAGCGCACAGCACCGGAGGAGAGCAGAGCTCTCTCCCCACTGTCCCTACATGAGGCAACAATCATGGCATGGTTGGTGACATGTTTGTGAGTTACAATTAATGGTATGCTCACCTAATGTTAGTGCGTTAAACTGTTAAGATCATCATGGTTATTGTATAGTGGTAATGCTGACAGCTTGGTCCCCCCAGAAAAATCCCATCTGTGCCCCTGGTTTTGATACACTATTATGTTGTAGACCTATAGAGAAAATATAGTTATATCTTTCAGCAGTTGCAATTGTTGTGAATGATCTGGTTTTTAATTTATTTATCAATTTTATATTATTTTGTATTGTATGTTGTCAGAATATTCTAAATAAATATTTTCCAAATTTTGTAATTAATTTATTCTTTGAAAAAGTCATGTAATTTTATGGAACTGCAATGCCTGGATTTTAGTGAGGTTAGTGTTCAGTCATAGCCATAGATGAAATGGTACTAATAATTACCAAAATTATTTCTTTTGATGGCTTGGTTTTCTCATTTTCGGATTCGACCAAGAATTTTGATTTCGGTGCATCCCTAATAAAAAGCCCAGATAATAAATAAACCGCTGAACCTGAGACAACAGCTGTCAACCCGTCACCCGTCAACCCATCACCATCTCAGTGGTAACCTGGCAGTTGGTGGATTCGAACCTGGGGCCTTCCGGACCGAAGTCCGCCTCCTTTACCACTAGGCCACCACTGCCTAGTGGTAAAGCATTAGACCTATTTTGAAAAGATGATACCCCATCTCCGGTATACATACTTATCACCTTTGCAAGAACTAATACCTCCAGGGCTATTTGTAAAACATAAAGAAAGAGTTTGACAATAGTACAGTATAAGAAAACAGGATATTTGTACTACTTCATGCTGGTGTTTTATTATGACTTTCTTTAACTAATGCATGTACAATGGCAACTGACACTAAAGAAATAATAAGTTTTACCTCTTTTTATACCTGCTTGAATATATGAAGTAAAAAAATCTGTGTTACATTTAAAAAAGAACTGTGAAAAAAAGTGTTACAGTAAATCAGAGCTCTGCAGACATGACCAGTACTATGCAGTGAAGCTCCTCAGTCACTTCAGCCTGCTGCCAGTGTTGTTTTCAGATATTACACAAGGCTTTTAATGACGTGATATGAATTAATCCAAAAGAGGAAACACATTATTCAATAGTTTGTTTCTGCTGGTATGTTGTCAAATAATGCTCATGTAACAACACTGCTCTACCTCCATCCTCTCTTTAGATCTGTATTTTAACAGACGCTCCACCTGTGTTTCATTGGTTCTGAGGTCACATGGCGAGACTGGTGCCCTTGTCCTAAAATCCTTCTATCTGTACGCCCACAACAGCCATGAAATTATGTTAGGTTCTTCGCATAATGGGAGGGTACACTGTGTTACATGGAGAAAAAACATCAGGGCATTGTTCTCTTTTTTATATGATTGCAGGAAATGGTCAGTTAGGACCTCCACTTCAGATTATGTTGAGGTCATCTTGATGCCCTCAAGGAAGCCAAATCTAACAGCTCACTTGTTACTATTTCATACTACAATTTTTTTTCAAAACATTGCATAATCCTATTTATTTTAGAAGAATGTGTAAACAAACTAGTTATTAAATGTATTTAACAAAACAAAACTATAAATATTGTATTATAGATGATTTGTTGATGATGATCTGTTATGCCACATACATTACAATTTAAACGTATAGTTTAAAACTCATACTGGTTTAAAAAGTAATATAGAAATATAAAACCAGGCTAGTCCAGTTGCATGTTTCATAACCTTTAACGTTGGAGTGGAGTTTTTATAAAATTATGGGAACTGAAGTGGGCTCTAAAGAAGGTGTCTGCCCATGGAAACACGATTATGTCAAAGACAAACAGCAGGACAGGTACGAACAAACAACGGTTATCTGCGTTTGTTTTGTTTTCTTGAAGCCCGTCAGTCTGGGATGGGCGGAACTGTTATATTATCTGATCACTGACATCAAAGAAAAAGACAAAGACAACTGGGTTCAGCTTTTAAAACTTCACCCGACGTCACACTGGTGTAATGGTGAAGCTAGACGAGACCGGTTCGATATAACAGAATATAAGAACCCTCCTCTCTCTTCCAATACTGAGATCTACTGTTTGCTAACCGAGTTACAGTGACAGATTTGATTTAAACAAGCTAACAGCAGCATGTTGTTTTGGTTGGTGCTACTTTCGGAACACACACGCACACACTTTATAGGTTGTATGTTTTGTATTGACATGTTAAATAACATATCCTATCAATACAACCAACTACATCTGATCAAATAAAGTTTTCTGGGATTCTTACACCGGCCCTTACGCTGCCCATCCTTTCTGGATCCTAAAGTTGGTTCTTTCCTTTACCCGTTTCACCAGTTCACAGTCAGCAAACGTCACCGACATACTCTAACGGACACGACGTTGCTAGTGTGTGCGGACAGCGGGCTGTGGGTCTAACTCACCGGCCCTAGTGGTGTCCGTCAGATCGTGGTTGGAGGCGCTCCGGGGGAACTCCTTCAGCTTCCTGCCACTGAGGTTGAGGAACCCGGTGGCCGAGGCTTCGTCCAAAGCCCGGTCCAGGGAGCGGTTCCACGGCGCCGGGCCTACCAGCCCAAGTCCATGATTATTACCAGCTAAAACGTTACCATTGCCGCCAACTCCCACCGTAAAGCCGAGTCCAGTGTTGTCCGCAGACCCCAACAACACAGAGGCCGCCATTACACACTCTGGCTGTTAGCTTTCCGTGCTAACGGTTAACTTTCCCACCCTAAACTCCGAGTGGAGCATGCGCAGAACGACCAACTGAAAAAATTGATAAACCAATTGAACATATTGTACTATCAATACCTTAACTGTGATCAGTACCGAACAGCCGTTTATCGGTACAGATACTGGTTTACTACAAAACTGTCTAACGTTGCATTTACAACTGTCACCGTTTTTTAACAGTACTAAATGCATGCTTTTATTTCTCTCTGCACTGATAATACATATATAATGTACATTGTGATTTTTTAAACCATTATAGGCAACTCAGCTTAGTTTAACTTTAAAAGGAAACATTTGTAATTTGATTAAAATAATTTGACACCTAATTTAGAGTACATGACCCCAGCACCTGGGTAGCCCATGGGCACACTTGTAATGTGTGCATGTAATCGGGTTGAGTTGAGTGTTAAACTATAGTTGGTGAGAATATGAGAATGCTATTGAAAGACAAGACACATGCATTTTACACACAAAACATTTGAAATATAACAGTCCTAACTTTGTGTAGTATTGTTAAAATGCAGAGACAGTTATAAATATAAGATTATTATAAGTGCGAGAATTGTAACAAAAACTACACTTCCCAGGAGATCCTGCGCTGTCGCATGTTGGCGCACGCGCACAGCCTTTGTGTCCAGGGCCGGGTATCATGGCGACGTACGTGGACATTCTGAAGAACGAGTTTCCTGGGATCGACTCGGAGCTTTTTGATTATATCACAGGTGAGTGGCCGATCACAAAACTCACGGCTCCCAGGAGCCTAGCCACTGTCTTTTCTAGATCGACTCTCCCATGTCGCCCAGATAGAGCGGCAAAAGTCGACCTCACAATTAGCCGGCAGCTAACAAGCTGACTTGAGTTAGGCTATACTGAGCTGTGTCACCTGGCAGCGCGACATGAGCCGGCTATGTCTAACGCTTTTAGATATTACCACCGGGTATTATTACACTGCACTGTGGTCAGAGACCCAGTAGACCAGGATTATCCCCGGGTTTAACAGAGAGACTATTTCAAACGTGTTCAAGAAAACGTCCAAATGGTTAGAGCGTTCGATACACGTGTGATACGGTATATACTAAATTCAAAAACACGGGTCTGCCCATGAAGCATACTAATGCCTGACAGAAGTTATTCTGTGGATTAAAACAAACAATCTTGATTATAAACAATAGGAAGAAGAGCAGAAATGTATAGGACATTTCTAGGAACTAGATGATGACGTTAGGGCCGCTATGGTGAAGAATAAAACTGAAAAGGTTCTTTGTCCAGATACCTGTTGAATTCTAGGGGGAGGCAATTTGATCAGATATCCCTAACCCAGAACTAAAGCAAGACTAAGAGATAAATTAGCCAATTGGGTAGCAGTTTGTTCGTGTCAACCACAGTAACATAGCTGCACTTTGTCTTTATGAATCTAGAGAAAGAATGTAAGAGGCTGCCAAAAGAGATGTTTTTGTATTGTATTAGGAGGCAAAGAAGTATGATGTGTACAAGGGCACCATTACAGTAGAACAATGTGCAGTCTAGGTGACAGATGGGTTTGTTGTGGTGTCCCTGAGTTTTAAAGGAAACATTTTTGGTGGATCAAAAACAAATCCTGGAAAATAATTTTGTAACAGCATGCTTGTCTTAGTAAGAGAGTAAATAGAGATGCTGTGTGCGTTGCTTTCAGGAGTCCTTGACAGTGGAGGTGCAGACTTTGAGGATGAAGACGAGGTTTTTGATGCTATCGGTGGTGTCCTGCAAGAAGTGTCTGCTGACAGTAAAAACGAGGATGACGTTAAAAACATCTGCCTCCAGATGTATAACACTCTCAAAATGTAAGAACACACAAACATTTGACTGCTTCCAACTGTCCCTCAGATGTCCTCATCCAATGAATAAAAATGCTGTATTTAACTGTGTGAATTTCTGTATTAAACAGAAACAACCATCATGGCTCTCAGAGGCAGGTGTTACTTGATGCTCCAGTTCAGCTGTCTCAGATCACTGCAGACATAGGTAACACACACACAAAATACCATTTACAATAACATTTATATTACACATTTTAGTTTGCAGTCTACATAATTTACATATTTTGGGGGTGACTTAAATTTTTTTTTTGCCATGTAAGACATTGTTGCTCAAGAATGACTTAACAGAAATGGGCCACGATAAAAAGTGTGGTGGTCTGAAGATTGATTTACATAGACTGACCTTGGCATTAGGTTTGGGTTGGTTGTGTTTACCTTGTAAGGAGCTGAACCTGTGTTTTTTCTTAGTTCCTGCATCCAGAGATGTTCAGGGTATCTGGATGATGAAACATACTCAGAACACAGTAAGTCCTCCCTCCGTTTGTTTTTCTTCCATTCTGTTAGACACAACTCTGCTGCAGTGTCATTGGCCTCATTTTTCCTTGTCTCTCTTCAGACTGTAGATGCAAAAAAACTGGAGAAGGCCGAGGCCAAGCTGAAAGCTAAGCATGAACGCAGGAATGAGAAGGACTCTCTGAAGGCCTCCAGCCCTCTGTCAGTACACACTCATGTACACACATGCACATACACACACACCAGTCCTTGTCTCACCCATCATCACCTTTTGTCTTGACAGCGTCTTGGAGGAGGCGTCAGCCAGTCAGGCCAGCAGTAAGAAGGACAACCGTGTTGACCAATCAGGGAAGAACCGTAGCTATGATATCCGCATAGAAAACTTTGATGTTTCATTTGGAGAAAGGTGAGTTGGAGACCAGTGTGAAATAAAAGAAAGGGTAAACCCACTTTATGCTATATTTTCACCATATACACTCTAACTTTTTTTAATTCCAGGTGTCTGCTGCAAGGGGCAGAGCTGTCTCTTGCAACTGGACGAAGATACGGTCTGATTGGTCGGAACGGTCTGGGAAAGACAACTCTGTTAAAAATGTTGGCGAGCCGCAACCTCCGTGTCCCAGCTCACATTTCCATCCTCCATGTGGAGCAGGAAGTGGCAGGAGATGATACGAGAGCGCTGGACAGCGTCCTGCAGAGCGACACTGTGCGGGAAGATCTGCTGCAGGAGGAGAAAAGGCTCAACGCCCGCATCGCCAACGGAACGTAAGATTTGACATCTCATTACGATCAGATCGGAACTCAGACCTCATGTCGTTGGTGGTGGAGAAGGTGTTGACTACATTTTTTTTTTTTTATTAAGTTTTGGCAGTTAAGTTTTTCCGTTTGTTTACATCCAGTAGGTTCTAGCCTTTGTTTCTGGATAAGTTTAAAATAGCCATGCCTCACTTGTAGTCATCACAGTACTCTGTGTTTTATAAGTGCAGAATTGTATTGTAGAAATGTTTCAATACATTTTTGACTGGAAATCTTATTCTAGAAAAAAATGTTCAAATTAAATATATTTGATTAAAACATTAGCTAGAGGAATACAGGTGTAAATCTACCAGAACCACCAGTTGACCACCATGGACCTGCATCATTATTTTGAACTTTGTTGTAGGTCATGATTTTAAAGACAAACAACGTCTCTGGCTCATCTTTTTAATGTTTTTTGAGGTTAGACAGGAAGTCACATCATTGTTTGAATCATCAGTAAATATGATGACTAACTGATTACATTCTTTCTTTGTTGTCCCTCAGTGCCGATGGGATGGAAAGCATACGACTCTCGGAGATCTATGCAAAGTTGGAGGAGATTGAAGCCGACAAAGCACCTGCTCGGTAACTATGGCAACCCTACTGGCTATCATTTTTAAATTCAAATAAATATATTATATATAAATATAAACCGTATAATTTATTCCTGTGGAGATTAATTTCCCTGTGGTTTAGTCACATGTACTGTAGATCCACACTGGAGGTAGAACTGAACAGTTGTAAATCATTACTGTTGTTCTGGTGTTTTGGTGCTCTTTTTTATTTACGTCTCTGTTGTGTTTATTTAGAGCTTCAGTCATTCTAGCAGGTCTAGGATTTTCTCCAAAGATGCAACAGCAGGCAACGAGGTGAGATGTCACCAACCAAGTTTTGACATCAAGAAACAAAGAGCAGTGCATTATAAACCCTGTCTCTCTCTCTTTCTCTCTCTCTCTGTGTCTCAGGGAGTTCTCAGGAGGGTGGAGGATGAGGCTAGCTTTGGCCAGAGCTTTGTTTGCTCGGTGAGTCTGGTTCTTAACATTGAAACCCTACTTCTGATTGGCCTAGAACTGGTGATTGACAGCTGTCTTCCCCTGTCTTCTGTCTTCACTAGGCCAGATCTGCTGCTGCTCGATGGTGAGTCCGTCCCTCTGTAATGCTGTCATTGGTTTAGTTTTACTGCTGAAGGTTCAGAGTTGATTTAAAACATCTCAAACTTTATTATTTCATAGTTTACATCAGACTGTAAAACTGGTTCCCAAAGTGGGCCCTCCATTGGGATCGTGGAGCCTTTGCAGTGAGGGCGCAACCACTATAGTTAATTTCAGTCTAAATATTTCTGTAACAAAAAAAATGTATTTCCTTTTTGAGAAATGTGCGGACTTGTGTCTTTAACAGCGATTGGTGCATTTTTGAAGCTGTTAATGTTTAGAGCCTGCAGCAGCTTAATTGTGGTCTCATATACAAGAGGGCGCGTTGCAGAAAAGTCTGTGAACCTCAGGTCGATACAGTTTTTTGATTTGATTTAGCTGAGGTTAAGAAATTCTTCTAGGATATTCGACCTTCAGTTGTATGATCTCTGTTTTGGTATTGTTTCATTCTTTGTCCTGTATTTTTTTTTTTCTTTTAGAGCCTACCAACATGTTGGATGTCAGAGCCATCTTGTGGCTGGAGAACTACCTGCAGGTCTAAACTTATGCATTATTTTCATTTTATTATTTATTTTCTGTCTTTTTTCTTTTCTTTTTTTTTACACGTTACTTATTGAGAGAATCTTTTTCCTCTCTCCTCAGACATGGCAGTCCACCATTCTGGTTGTTTCCCATGACAGAAACTTCTTAAATGCTGTGGTAACAGACATCATCCACCTGCACTCACAAAGACTGGACAGTTACAGAGGAGACTATGAAAACTTTATAAAAACTAAAGACGACCGGCTGAAGAACCAGCAGAGGGAATACGAGGCTCAGCTGCAGTACAGACAACACATACAGGTACAGTCATACTTGTATGCCAACTAATCAGTACAGTGGTTTTCAAACTAGGGTTAATGTATCCACATAGTTTCTCATTTAGTTTATTAAGTAGTTTTCAGCTGGACTGTTATATTGGTTATACAAACAAACAAAAACTACTCCAGTACTTAAGTATGTATGTATGTATATTGTTTCCTAATTTTTAATCCTCTTTTTTATGTAACTTATTGTCCAGTTTCTTTCATTCAAACACTAAAGCTATGTAAAGCTGGAGTTAATTACTTTGTATTTGTTTATTCTTGTCCAAAAACCTGATTCTGATTTTGATACTGCTAGTACTTTGAGAGACTAATATTTTCAGAGGTGGTGCACGGTGACCTATGATACACCTTTGGTGTGTTTCAGGTTTTTATCGATAGGTTTCGCTACAATGCCAACAGAGCGGCTCAGGTTCAGAGTAAACTGAAGCTGCTGGAGAAACTGTGAGTAAAGCTGTACTGAAGTAAAGATATATATACACACAGTATATATGAATGAGCTCATGTCTTCATGGATGTCTGTCAGTGTTGGTGTGTTCATGAACTGTAATTGACTGTCCCCACAGACCTGAGCTGACGCCTATTGAGAAAGAAACAGAAGCAATTTTAAGGTAAAGTGATTTAAAATTACTATTTGCCATTTATTTGTTTTTCAAACCTGATATGAGAAGTTAACATGTGCTTAACATGGAATGTTACGGATTCAATTTTTTAAAAATCGTATTAATGTCAGGCTTTAATAAAAGATGATGCTCAGAATGTTGTTTCCAGTTTCAGACAGCACCACCATCAGGTCACAGCCTGCGTAGCATACAGTACATCCACCTGATCTACATGTTGATCCATTCTCAACCTAAACTGTCACATGTTCTGCAGGTTCCCAGATAACTTTGAGAAGTTGTCCCCACCCATCCTGCAGTTAGATGAAGTTGAGTTTTACTACAGCCCTGACCAGCCCATTTTCTCTGGGCTCAACCTATCAGCTGACCTAGAGTCTCGGATCTGCATTGTACGTGTGGTCGCTAGGCCTAAAATCTGACCATTAACAGTGATGTCAGACTTGGGCTGATCTCACCTGCTCTCCATCCTTGTGTATTGTGTCAGGTTGGAGAAAATGGCGCTGGTAAATCTACTGTCCTGAAACTGCTGATGGGCGAGTTGACGCCAGTCCAGGGAGTCAGACAAGCTCACAGGTGAGATGGCTGACAGCCAATCAGAGCAGAGGAGGATTCTGAGTGGTTTAAATAAAGTGGATTGTTTATCCTACAACTGAGGTTGTGATTTTCAGACATATGCATTGTTTACATTTTCTCTGTTTCTGATCGTCTTGTTCTCAGGAACCTCAAGATCGGTTACTTCAGTCAGCATCATGTGGACCAGCTGGACTTGAACGTCTGCTCTGTGGAGCTGCTGCTCAACAGGTTTCCAGGTAAATTGTAACAGCATTTGACCATAGTCATAACTAAAGGTCTCTCCCTGGAGATGAGCTGTAAAAGAATGTGTGTGTGTGTTGTAGGTCGGACAGAGGAAGAGTATCGCCACCAGCTGGGAAGTTATGGAATCACAGGCGAGCTGGCGACCAGGCCAGTGGCCAGTCTGTCAGGAGGACAAAAAAGTCGTGTTGCTTTTGCTCAGATGACGATGCCATGGTAACAGAGTACTCAGTAATCAGCTGTCTCTATGGTAATTATGATGTAATAGTGATGTCACCCTGTCTTTCCTGCAGTCCAAATTTTTACATCCTGGATGAGCCGACCAATCACTTGGACATGGAGACGATCGAGGCGCTTGCCAAAGCTCTCAACAAGTTTAAAGTAAGTGACTGTGTGAATGTGGTCATGTTCTTCCTGGGCGTTTCCTCAGATCTGTCTCGTCACGTGTTTCAGGGTGGAGTCGTCCTTGTGTCGCATGACGAGCGTCTAATCAGGATGGTGTGCAAAGAGCTGTGGGTGTGTGAGAATGGGAAAGTTGGTCGTATCGATGGAGGCTTCGATGAGTATCGAGACATCCTACATGAGCAGTTCAGAAAGGAGGGCTACCTGTGATGCTCTGCCTAACGCTGACTGACCTCTAGCCATTTAAACCCCTCCCACATCAGACAAATGTCCCTGCAGCCAATCATTGCCACAACTGACCAGGAGATGCTTCATCTCTGAACTGTGTCACTTCCTGCTTCAGGCAATTGTTGCTGCAAGCTGATTGGAGGGTTCAAAGTAAACTCAGCAGGAGGAGAAGAGGCGGAGGAGCAGGAGGAAGGAGTGAATTGAAGTGGCAGCAGTTTTAAGATTTTATCCTTTTTAACGGACCTGACATAGTTATATTTACGTTATATGTAAATATACGTAGATACACTTACGTATATTTATATTAACTAAACCCAATAAAAATCTGAGCATGTGACACTTCTGTTTTTGTTTTTTTTCCCCTCATATCGTGTTCTTCATCATGGACTTTAAAACACATCACAACTCTTCTACTATTTAAGTACCTCAGCACACTGAAAACACAACTCAGGGCAATCGCTGGGCAGGAGGACCAACTGACTTCTTCTGTCTTTGTCATATGACATGTAACACGTCATTTACACTTTAACCTTGGTGAAAATTCATATCAAATACATGCCTTCTCATACTAGAGTGATTGTTTGTGATGATAAATGCTGCTGACTCAGAAATTCAGACAAGTATGAAAGATGAGATGATTTAATGACAAAGAAGTGAAGATCAATCTTCACTGTAACATCTTGATGTTCTCTGAAGTTCTTTACAATGTTTTCAAAGCTTAATTAACTTTGATATTTCCCTAATCACACTTTTTTCTTCAGTTTAAACCTCACAATTATTAGGTTACTTATTACATGTTTATGTAGGTTCTCAGTCATCTAGGTCATCTCATCCAAGGCACTTACGTAGAAGACACCTGACCTGTCTGTGAAGTCACAGCTTCTCTACTGCTCAGGTGTCCAGGCAGCTGCCTTCTCTCTGAGTTTTGGCAGAACAGCGCTTCTGTAAAACATTTCGAGTTTGGACACTGTCTCCTCCCACAAGTCAGGGTCAAAGGTCACAGGGACGATAGCAGTTTCCTTAGTGGTGTAAACCACCAGGTCTGCAGAGTGCAGGCCTGTCACGGCCAACTGACACTGGATCTGTGTGAAGTACTGGTGAGATGTCTTCAGACGGTAGACCGGAATCTGGGACACAAGGAGAGGATGTTAGGGAGAAAAGTAAAGGTGAACACATGAGCAGACATGCAAGAGACAAGGACAACGATGTAGAATTGAACAAAGGTTCTGAGGAGTGATCTTCAGAAACAAGATTATAGAAACAAGAAGTTATTTTATTAATGAAAAAAGAAATTTGAAATGGATGCAAAAGTAAGACAACGTGAGAAAAAGGTAAGACTGTAGAGCTAATGGGACTTAAGGGTAAAAGTACTCCAGGGAATGACATTTGAGGAGAAAATATTTGGGAAGACAAACATCAAAGACAAAGGAAAGATGTTGTAAATAAAACACAAAGACAAAGGTTATAGTAGGAACAAGACAACGTCACAGATGATTTTATTTTTACCTCTCTTGGATTCTGATCGTCTCCTTCCACAATTTCTAGACAGAAGGCCCGGTCACTCCTGCAGGCTTCTTCCACTGAGCTGTGTCTGTGTTTATAGGGACATTTCACTTCCAGGCCCAGCAGCCACTCACCAGTCCGACTGTCCACCAGAATGCCATCAGGACTGGCCGCTAACCAGGGTCGCTGAGCATCAATGAACAAACCACAGTCCCGAACCATGACGGGACGACCCAGTGCCAGGGTTTTCAGTTTCTAAAATACATTATTATTAAAACAGTGTTTTAAGCTTTTTCTGAGTCAAACATATCAAGTGACATGTGGATCAGTTTACCTGGTATTTGTGGATAACTTTAGACTCCATGTTAATCCCCCAACTCATGGCACGGGTCTGGACATGTCGTCTATCACCTGAAGAACCAGATAAACATAGTAAAACAAAAATTAAAAAAAAAAATTTAATACTGAGGGTATGACCACACCTGTGTATGTGGGAAAGACATACCTGTGATTGCAGCCAAGTAGCTGGATGGTGGAGTTGTACTCTTTCCATTTACCAAGCGGCAGTGAGCAATCTGATGAGCTAATGAGGCAGTAATCCGGTTCTTCCTCCAGGAGAACCAGTCCTGGTTTTCCCTCTGTCCGCGGGTTAGAACCTCCACCTGCTCTATAACATGTCTGTCCAACACTATATCTACACCTAGGGGAACCTGTTCTGGACTAGGTGGACCTTTGTTAGAATTCAGCTCTGAATCTGAAGTTTCCTTTCTGACTGATTTCTGAGGTGGTTTTGGAGAGGTCTTAGTTTGTACTCTTGACACTGGACCCTTGTCCACCTGTCGGCTTGTGTCTCCACATTGGCTCCCAGGCTGTAGTGGGGGGACTTCTCTGGCTTTGCTTCTTCTTTTTGGACCAGTTTCCAGAGTGTTAGAGGTTTGGGGCAGCACTGCATCTCCAGGCTTGTTGCACTTGATGGAAGGATGGTATCGAGCCTTAGGTAAGATAGGTTTCTGGGATGTGGCAGTTGCTGTTTCTCCAGCTCGTGGTGAAGACTTGTTTTTGTTCATGTTTGCATGGACTGGACCAAATTCCAATGAAAAGAATCAGACCATGATAAACTGGACTGGAAAATAACAAAACAAACTTAATCCATGGCTCGATAAACATAAACTTCATCTAGATGCATGTTTTGTAATTTACTGCGGTTATTGAATGCAACAATGAGATTGTTTATAATCATGACTTACAAAGTCATAGATTTTATTAAAACACTAAAAACAACCCATGCACATTTGATGGATAATATACTCATTCACTTTAATTTCCTAAAAACTAATAACCATATCCGGTTCGCGCTCCTCGCTTTACTCTTGCAACCGGATAACGTTGTTTCTCGATGTTATTTTGAAATTTACCCGGATGTTACGTCAGAGTAAACGTCTGTAAAAACAACAGGAGAAACATTTGTCATCAAAACACATTCAGCAGATCCTTATAAACCTTTATGTAAGGCTTCGTTAATTGGACTTTTGTAATTCAGCGTCGGTAGGATTTATATGTGACGTAATTAAAAAGCCGAAATTCGAAGCACGTGATCAGAGCACGGGAAACTTGTTATAACAACAAAAATACAGGCGATGCGGTACATAACGTGGTGTGTTTAATAAATATTTGTGTTGTTGAGTCTGTCTCACCAGATCCTGAACGCACCCCACTGTCCCTGTGAACAAATGAAACTACTGAAAGAGCCAGTGACTCAGTAACTCGTGACCCGTGACGTTTTTTTTTCTGTCAGCTGACTTCTGAACCCAAGGGATGCTATTATTAATAATTTGTCAATTTAACTGACAGTCCGACGCAACAACTTTAGCGCTCCTTTATTTTTATGTTTATGAGAAACAGCACTCTAATACTGGCATGTATGGTTCCTCAATTAGTTTACTGCAGCGGTTTTCAATAGGTGTGGCGCTCCTCCCACGGTATTTGTCTCAGATTTGTTGGTCTTAGTGGATGGTCTGAGTCTGCAACAAGATCATGAATAGGTTCTGGAGTCACGGTCTTTCATTCAGGTCTGATGCTGGCTTCTGATATATATTCTGACTGTAGGTGGGTGCTGTTTGGTAGGAACCCGTTGCGGATGGTGATGTCCTCTAAAATATATACAATGCTAGATGATGGGAGAGCACCAAAATATCTGTGCAATGTTGACTCTTCAAACATCAGTGCTGTGGTGTACTACTGTCCGGTTACGACAAGTCATCAGGAAACAGATTTCATGAAGCTTGTATACAGTTGAGTGAGGTGCAGATCTGTGGTATGACAAAGTGTGTGTTTGTGTAATGCATTTCACGTTGAGGCTTGTTGTAATTTTGCAGAATTAAAGAGTTTTAGGGTTACCTGGTGTTTTGTCACCACCGTACTCGTCTCATGAACATACATATAAACAGACAGATTATCACATACACTTTTCAGCAGTGCCCAGTGAGAGAGGGAATTTTGCTTGCTAAGCAAACACCACAGAGAACAAGCCTGGTCTTCTGAACACTAGGCCACAGGCTGGCCCATGGGCTGTGGAACACCTGGGACAAGGAACATGCTGTTGCCACATCAGGAAAACCAGATACGTTTAATCAGATCAAAAATACTCAAGACAAACAACAACAAAAACTTCTGATAAAACATTGTGAGACAGTGTGTGATCATCACTTTTGCCTGTGTGTAAAAAAAAAGCATCAAGGAAAATCTGTTGACAATTAGGAAATGTTATACATTACACAGTTTACACGTGAACAATGAGTCACAGTTCACTTCAGTTGGTCTGAGGACATGGTGGTCAAATCTGAGTATCGTTGAGGCCAGAAAATGGCAAAAGTCACAGTTTTAGATCTGATTTCAGTCCAGGTCTGGTTCCACTTCTGATCAAAAGGATGGATTTGGTCCTGCAATCAATACTGGAAGCTTCTCTTGGTCTGGATGTCGTCGAGGATTTGCTGCAGCTCTTCATCTTCAAACCGTCCCTCCAGACTAAAACACATGGTCAAAAAAAGTCACAATTAAATCAATGACTGATTTTAAAATAAAAAAAGTAAGATTCTGCAGCCAGAGGTGATGAACAAAAAATGTTCTGAGCTGCACATAACTGAAGTCAAGATCATTGCCTCTGAAAGGCAACTCTCTTCACTATGTGAAATGCTTAACTTTGAAGTACATTGAATATTTATACATGTAAATATTGACTATATGAATATTCAGTTGCCAAGAAGACTCCAGTTAACAAAGGATTAGAAATATAGTGGACTCACCTGGGGATCAGGGCTTTGGCCTCTTCAGCAGCTTCAGGGCAGAGGTTTGCTAAACTAGCCAACTCAAACTTATGAAGCTTCTTCTGGAGCAGGAGACTGAGGGAAAATGGAAGATAAAGTTGGTTGGAATCTGTGCAAATTAAACATACACACACCTTACAAGAATTCTAATCAACTGCAATCCATCTCTGGTCGATCTTCAATTGTTCATATTATCATTATTCAATAATAACTAAAGTCATCTTATTTTTTTAGGATAGACAACAAAGCTTTGTTTCATAAATGTACACCATATTTAGTCATCAGTTTAAATATGGCGTGTGACTAGTTTGATCAGAATAACTTTAATTCAGGTCTGGACGGTCAAGTAAGGAAGGAAAGTGAACCACTTGTCATTGTGACACAGCACACCACTGCACACAGCGAAATGTGTCCTCTGCTTTTAACCCATCACCAAAGTGAACAGTGGGTCAGCGATGCAATGCTCAGAGCATCTCAGTGGTTACCTTCCCGACCCAAGTCCGCTTCCTTAACCACTAAGCCACCATTGAGCCAAGGAGACACACGTGAGGGGAGCAACAGCACCTGCGCACGGCTGTGATGGTTTCTCTGTTTTTGAAGCGACTGAAGCGAGCCGTGTAGTTCAGGGTCTTCATGAAAACCTCTGACAGTTCCTGTTCGTCCTCCGCACTCTCATTCTGCTGCTTCCTGTGTTCTAACAACATGTGCACCTCGGAGTTCAGCAGCGTCTCTGCACTTTCAAACTCTGTGAAAAACATGGAGGAAAAGAACGCAAGTTAAGCTGAAGCTGAATGAAAGTGATCTTCCTCTGAAGTAAACCGTTGATTGCTGTGGTTTCTGGGAAATGCTGACATTTTGAATAATTCTGTTAACATTTAATGACAAGATTAGTATCTTCTAACATCTATACAATTTGGAGGGAACTGGTAAAAGCAGGTAGGACCAACACCGGAATGAACCCAGGAGAAAAATCCTGATAATCTTCTCCCACTCTACAGATTGTTCTGTGTGGTTAGTGTTTGGATCCAAGGATGAGTATAGGACTTGGTCTTAGATAAGTTTACCATACTGCTGGTCCAGACCTGGTTCATTCTCATTCATTACTGACCTTTAGGAAATAGCAGCTGTGAAGCATCTTCTTCAACATCACCGACTTGAGGAGCAGCCGCACCGCCTCCCGTCGCCATGACACAACAAACGACTAACTACCAACGTTTAACGGGACACTGTTAAAACCACTCGACGGAGGACAGCGGTGTCAGTCTTTAGTTCAGACACGATTCAGGTAAATTGCTGACCCGACTAAGACGACTGTTTGTGGGATTGACGGTAGGAAACAACCAGAGATTTAGCTCGGCGCCTTTCAACACAAACTACTCTTTCCGAGTCGACAATAACCACTTCCGGGCTTCTCTTCTTCTCCAGTATAGATTGCGCCAGGAGGGGGTCGGTTGGTAGTAACAAAAACAAAACAGAATCATATAGCGCCAACTAAAGGAATGGAGTTTAGCTACAACAACATTCCCCAAAGGCGAATTACTTTCTATTCATGATTGCAGCTTGTCAGCCATCCATAAAAATGCTGACGAATAATTCTGACTTTTGCGTGTAAACTTGAAAGCACCGAAAATGATCCAATTGTAATATACAGTATTTTTAGATTAAAATGAAATGAGTTGCTGATTAAGTCTTTCTTTGCTTTTCCTTACACCAGAGGGCAGTAGAGTACAGGATTTATCCTGAAGTGCTTGGTTAGTAAAAGGCCTTAAATCACAGATAAACAAGTCGTTCTTGAACGAATAATCTTTTGACCTCTTATTTTTTAATGAAGTCATGTGTTTAACAACCTGGGCCCAGTCATATTTATTTTAGTTTATGTAAAATGATAGGAAGTAATGCTTTACAAACAACACCACAATTCATGTGATGAAATAAGATAGAAAACTAAAGGCTGAGGTTATTTCTGGTCACATTTGGTTTCATTGTTTTGCTTAAAACAATAAGAATAAAAGTTTTCATCCACAGAACAGTTTTCTCAAGGTGTTGTATGAAGTAATGAAGAAGGGGTTCAAAATCATGTTCCCCTACTCCCCAAACAATGAACAGATGCACAGATTTAGTTTTATTCACACAGCTGACCCAGTATTAACTTTAGGCAAACATATTTTATGTTTAAACTTTTTATTTGTCATAGTTTAAACAACTGTAACAAACAATGTAATTAGCCCCACTGGAGTTTCTTCCTCTTGTCTTTCCTAGCATTTATCACCCTAAGGACACAGCCTGTGTGGACAGTTGGACACTCAGGAGGCAACGAGTGGCTTCACTGACAGATCATTTAGTTGTTGTCATGGTTAGAGCTGTAAACAAATGTGTCATCAGGAATTAAGATAATGATTGTCACACTGACCTGCACTCTGCCCTTTGTCATGTACATTAGTTTTTTTTATTTTTATTAATGAACTTTGAAAACTTTAAGCACAGAGTACAGTGGGTGCATTTTATCAGCAAAGACGTTTAAAGTGAGGTTTAAGTGCGTTGACGTGGTCTAATGAGAAGGTCAGGCGTAATGGAACGTTCATGAAAACTGATGTGACAACAACAGAAACCTATTAAAGGCCTCACATATACAGTAAAAACCTGTGTCCTTCAAGTTCATGAAATCACATTAGGATGGTGTGTCCATGATGTCATCTAAACCTTATACAGGAACTCCAATGGGTTTGTCTTTGTTTCCTTTTATACCTTAAAAAATCCATATATTTCCCACAGGCTTTGGTAAATGAATGGACAGTAAAACAAACTTTTCCTGAATTTGTTTGACAGTGAGATTACACAGTAAACCAGTTCTAATCCAACACTGTAATCTGTAAATTATCAGCATTTAAATGTGACCGAGAGCAAAACAGTAAGTTCTTCATTTGCTTCATACTTTGTCGAATTGCCTTCATTTTAATGCCATAAATTATGGGGTGGAGTAGAGGAGGGATGACAAAGAAGTTTATACTAACTACAATATTGACCACTATGGGCAGGTCAGAGCTCAGGCGGTTGTAAATGACACCAAAGAAGGATGCCACAGAGAAGTTAACGAAGGTGACCAAGTGAGGCGTACAAGTCTGCAGTGCTCTCGACTGAGAGTGCCGGGATTTCTTTAGAACAACCGAGAAAATGTGGACATATGACAGAATGACTAGACCACATGGCAACATGATGAAACCGACAGCGCAGCACAGACCGTAGACGCTGATCACTGTCGTCCTTCTGCAGGACAGGTTAGACACCACCAAACTGTCACAGATGAGTTTGTTGACCTTGTTTCCACAAAGCTGTAGTCTGGTAATCAGGTTGACCTGCACACCTGAGGAGCAGCTGAGAACCACGTAAACCACCAGGAGCATCAGTCCGACCCTTCCTGGAGTCATGATGCTGTGGTACAGCAGTGGTTTACAGATGGAGACGTAGCGGTCATAAGCCATTAGTGCCAGGTTACAGAATATACTGCCACTGTAAATGTTGGTGAAGAACGCCTGGGTCAAACAGCCCTGCAGGAACACAGGCTGACCGTGGTGCAGCAGGTGGTGGATGATATTAGGACACATTAATGAACTGCCTACCACACCACTGAGACACAAGTTCACTAACAGCATATACATAGGTCTGCTGTAGAGACGGGCCTCTGTGCAAATGACCAGGACCAGGAAGAGGTTGATGCACAAACTGACAATGTAAAGAAAGAAGATGCACAGGAGCAGTGTCGTGTTGAAGATACCCAGGGAGCCATAGATGGTGAAGTTGATCTGCTCCCAGTTCACAGAATCATTCATTGTTGCATGTCAAAACATCACAGGGCAAAAAAACAAGAATCAAACAAAGAGACAGAGTCAGACACTGAGGATGAAGAGTTCGTCTCTGTCAGACCAACCGTCCACCATCCCCCTTCTTGTCCTCTGCTGGAACTCTTCACACTCCCCCTTTCATTATGTCTATCTGTTACGTCACTACCAAGACTGCCGCATGTGTCTCACTAAAACAACTGACTGTCCAATCATATTCTACACATTCAGCTCAACATTTGCTCTCGTTTCATTGTCTTTTTTTTATTGTTTTATTGTAAAAAATTAAAAACTGGGACAAAGTTTTGTCAAAAATTGATGGCAATTGTGCATTTTTCCCCTTTTCTCCACATATGTAATGTAGAATTGTTTCATGTAAGCAAACTTTAGTTTTGCGTAAACATTGAATCTGGAACAACCAAAGCTTAACATTATAAACACATGAGAAATTAAATAATAAAAAAAAAACACGCATCAGTGGTATTAGTTTCTTATCATGTTTCTGTAGCCTTTCAAGTTTCTTTTTAATTTGAATCTTTTTTTCACAGGCCAACAAAAGAACAACCAAAATGTATATGCTACATACATACATAGCTCATACACCGCTAATACTACAAATTCCAGTACACACGGGCTATACACTGGTGGGCCAACCCTAGTACACATTTGATTTAATCTCATGGGCCAAATATAATTACACTGTTGGCTAGATTTGGCCCCCGGGCCTGAGTTTGACACATGTGTTATAGATAGATAGATAGATAGATGGATTATGTTATGTTGTTCTATCTTTTCCTGTCTTATCTTTTCCTGTCTTATCTAAATAAAACAAAAATATTTAGTTTGAAAGTGTTAAAATAATCTATTTATGTGAAAGAGAATCAACAAATGCATGTGTTTCTAGAGCAGGTTAAATTGACAATTTTAAAAGACCACAGGAAAATAATTTGTGATCCAAGGAGAAACTTGGAGACCAAAGAAGCGGGGCTGAAGTGCAGGGAGTTGTGAGTGAGTGAGCCTTTAGGTCAGATGAGACCTCCGTAGTCCTCTGATGCTCGGAAAATGGTGGGCTGAGTTTGTGAGTTCATTGTGTTTAGCCTTATGATTAGATAGATCTTTCTCAGTCAGAAATGTGATATCTAAACCATATATTTAAAAAAAACCTGACAGACAGACATTTTCTGACCCAAATTGTTTTTTCTCAGGAACATAATATTTCTGATGTTGCCGCAGTAGACACACAACAGCGCAAATATTATTGAAGGTAGATGAAAATGACAAAGCTATAAAAGATTATATGGTTGACAGAAGTTGAATAGTGATTACAGTGTAACAGAACATGAACTTAAAGTTGGCAAATTTTCAATAAAACCTCGATGTCAGTGATGTGTATCATGGTTGTGACACACTGAACATCTTCTTCTTCTTTTTTCTTAATATTATATGTACTTATACGTACGTTCTTTAACTTTTCTATATCTATATATATTAAAATATATATAAATATAGGATAACTTAGTGCAGGAAATAAAATTTCAAAATTAACACAATCGTTTAAAAAAAACACAGTAAATGCATATTATATGTGTTTGTATGCAATTCTTTAACTTGTCTATTAATTGTCTATTATAGTATATATTTTTAGTTTTAGTATAAGTCTGAAGTGCTTTCAAAATAAAATCATTTTTAGTGTTGTTATTATGTTAGGGATTTAATTATGTCATATTTTTATTGCCACCATTTTATTGTCACCACGGCAGCTACAGCCCTCTCCGTATAATCAGAGTCTTACACAGCATGCGTATTTTTGCCAGGTTAAGGCCGTACATCAGTGGGTTAAAGAGCGGCTGACACATGAGCCAGTACAGGGACAGAAACACTCTGAGTGCGAAGGGGATGCTGCTCATGTCAAACCTGCTCTGTGTGATCTCAAAGAAGACTCCGAAAGAGAAGTTGATGAGTGAGGCCATGTGAGGTACGCAGGTGTTTCTGGCCTTCTGTCTCATCTGCTTACAGCCAGATAAACAGACTTTCAG